GAAGAAGTCTACAACCTTCTTTGATACAAAATTTATGGACTACACCGGGCTCATGGAGAAATCCTTTCTTGCAGTTGTCGTTGCTGCATATAGTCTGGAGTTTGATATTATCACGTGTTTCATTGAGCCTTTTTAATTCATCAATAATCTTGTGACGAAGTTGCTCGCTTTTAACACTTTGAGACGGTTTGAGTTTCTTTTCTGAGTCTTCAAATTTCATATTTTGGGTTTTACTGTTGATTTTTTTCGGAATTAGTTCACTTCTGTGTCCCACAGTTCGCATTTCACCTCCTGCTGCCGGGTCATGAGTGCAGAAATTATTATAAGATGGCAGAAATTTCTTTCTGCCATCTTATATGTTTGTCAGAAAACATCACTGGCCTCTTTGAGAACTTGAGCTTTTTGGCAGGGGCCATTGTTTCGTATGGTCCGGAGTTTGACGTTGTTGTCAAGGGTGTCGTCAAGCATATTGAATTCATCAATGAACTTGAGATGAAGCTGCTTGTTTATAATACTCAATGTCAATGGACTACACCGGGTGACGCTTTTGACCACAACGTCAAACTCCGGAATATGCGCAACAATGGACCCTGCAAAAAAGCGGGAGCGCGCATATTCCGGAGTTTGACGTTGTGGTCATTGTATAGCCTTATCAATGAGGGTTTCTCTCAGAGGGTTTCTCCTTTTCTTTCTTCCTTATCTCAGAGGGTTTCTCTACCCTCCAGGTTGAAGATGACAGGTGAGACGGTCTCATTGTTATGGTTGTTATAAAAAACTACACCGGCCTCAAGGTTTGGCTATAAATAATGGAGTTTGACGTTGTGGTCATTGTATTAACAATGAGCACGGTGCGAGCGACAGTCTTGTGAGTTTGTCTCAGAGGGTTTCTCTACCCTCCAGGTTGAAGATGACAGGTGAGATATATCAAACTCCAGACTATATGCAGCAACGACAACTGCAAGAAAGGATTTCTCCATGAGCCCGGTGTAGTCCATTGGAATTGTATTACAATTTATTTAAATATTTATATTTAAATAAATTGCTTGTTTGTAATTTCGTTAAAAAATGCAAAAAAACGTCAAAATTTAAATGCGAACAACAACCCTCTGAGACAAACTCACAAGACTGTCGCTCGCACCGTGCTGGAGAAACCCACCAGCGTCATCATCTCAAGTTCATTGATGAATTCAATATGCTTGACGACACCCTTGACAACAACGTCAAACTCCGGACCATACGAAACAATGGCCCCTGCCAAAAAGCTCAAGTTCTCAAAGAGGCCAGTGTAGTTCATAAATTTTGCTTCAAAGAAGGTTGTAGACTTCTTCATCATTTGGACTCAAAATTGTGGAATTGCCAATTCTATGGCAATATGAAAGCACGTTTTCATAACAACTAAATGTATTTATATGTTTAAATCTTTTTAATGCAGCAGATTGGTTTTCATCATTGCACATGATGAAAACCCAAATCTCTGTTCTTTATTCATGGACAATTGTAATTTCATTGACAATTTAATGAGTTATTTGTTGAACAGAAATTGCCTGGCTTCTAAGCTGGTATGAATGTTCAATAATATTGTGCATGAGCCCCCCCCCCCTATAGTCATGTACGGCATGCTTCATATAATCAAAATATTTAATTTGGTGTTTACAGCTTGCCAGCATGGCTGGATGTCTCCATTGTAAATGTACTACTAAATATCTATAATGGACAGCCTGAACATGATTTGCACATTTTTATTTGCATAAATTTTTTCCAGGTTTGGCTGAAGATGCTTTAAAAAAGACCACAAAGACAAAAACAGCTGCAAAGAATTCCAGTAACAAGAGAAAGAAGATGTCTACTCAAGGCAAGAAACAAAGTGTCTTTCAAGGCAAGAAAGTAAGCTGATAACAAACTTTTTTACATTTTTGTACAATTATAAGACAAAGAATTTTATGTGTAAATGTGTGAAATATGAATTTTTATTTCACTAACACTTCTGTTAGAAATTATTTGGCATTGAAATTTCCTGATGAGGTAAAATGATTTCTTTAACATTATTAATCTACTGTGCTGATTCCAAACCAGTCATAAATTACTAAGTATATACCTCTGAATAGTGAGTTGGGTGGCTGGGCAGAGTGAAAGATATAGGTAACTTATTCCCTGAATAATTCTACAGTGCAATGTTGCATAAAATACACACTGTGTTAGATCTTTATCTACAGGGTTATTCTGAATGAAGGACCCAATTTAATAAATTTGTAGTTATTCAAGTACAAATTCATCATGAATAATTTACACACCAGTGGAAAGAGAAAAATTCCAAGTTTGTTCACATATTTATACATGTTGAATATGTCTCCATTGTGCTGTACAGCAAACATCTAAACAGCATCCAAACTCGTCCCACACACGAGAAAGCATATCTTCTGTTACTGAGTGCACCGTAGCAGTGATACGGTTCTTCAGATCAACCAGAGTTGCGGGTAGAGGCGGGACGTAAACAGAGTTGCTGGTAGAGGCGGACGTAAACAGTTGCTGGTAGAGGTGGGATGTAAACAGAGTTGCTGGTAGAGGCAGGATGTAAGCAGTGTTGCTGGTAGAGGCAGGATGTAAGGAGAGTTGCTGGTAGAGGCAAGATGTAAACAGAGTTGCTGGTAGAGGCAAGATGTAAACTGAGTTGCTGGTAGAGGCAAGATGTAAACTGAGTTGCTGGTAGAGGCGGGACATAAACAGAGTTGCTGGTAGAGGCAGGACATAAACAGAGTTGCTGGTAGAGGCGGGATGTAAACAGAGTTGCTGGTAGAGGCTAGATGTAAACAGAGTTGCTGGTAGAGGCGGACGTAAACAGTTGCTGGTGGAGGTGGGATGTAAACAGAGTTGCTGGTAGAGGCAGGACGTAAACAGTGTTGCTGGTAGAGGCAAGATGTAAGGAGAGTTGCTGGTAGAGGCAAGATGTAAACAGAGTTGCTGGTAGAGGTGTCGGGACGTAAACAGAGTTGCTGGTAGAGGCAGGACGTAAACAGAGTTGCTGGTGCAGAGGCGGGACGTAAACAGAGTTGCTGGTAGAGGCGGGACGTAAACAGAGTTGCTGGTAGAGGCGAGACGTAAACAGAGTTGCTGGTAGAGGCAGGACGTATACAGCTTCTTTGACGTAACCCCATAAGAAATAGTCGCATGGAGTGGCCAGAAGTGTAGAGCCAGATCTTCATTTCCTATGCGTCTTATAAAAGTTAAGGAAGTGACTGATTATGGAGGAAGAAGTTTGCCATTCAGCACAAGAGGACATATTGAACCCATATAAATATAAAAAAAACGATTAATCTTTCTCTTTCCATTGGTTTCTAAATAAGCATAATGAATTTATACTCAGAGAAATATGAATTTATTAAATTGGGTCCAACATTTGGTAAAACACTGGAATATAAATTAATTATCTTGTGCCATTGTAAAAACAATCTTAATAATTGATCTAACTTTGGGGGCTTTTATCTACTAACAACAAATACAGGCACTTGTTACCCTGTATTTTTAACATATACTTTGCAATTTATGAGATGCACTTCAAAAATTACATTGACTTGACAATGAAACCTTGAAGTTAGGAGCACTAGACCAGTCAGTCCCAAAGACTACCTAATTAAAGATGAAAATTTAAAGGTAGGATTGTTTTTTGGGATGCAAAACTACAAGACAAGTTTCTTACAGGAAGGTGCAGAAATTAGGTACCTCATATATATAATTTTGTAACCAAAATTTGTGTTACAAAAACTTGTGTCGTGCATTAAGCATTTATGTAGTAAGAGAAATAATGTTTGGTTTTACATACGGTATGTATTTGAATATTTTTATGAGATTGTTTGTGCAGGTTTCCTGTGTTTTAGATGAAATTAAATCAAAGATACAGAAGAAAGATGACACAAAAACATCACTGAAATTCCTAAAGAGAATTGACAGCACGTGTTCCTCCTCGTACCTCAAGCAAGTGAGTTCTTTTATTTATTATTTACAAATATTCACTGAATAAATTATATTATAGAAGTTATCAATTTGTTCATGATACATTTTGATGTACAATGTAAAATTAGCCGATCAATTTCACCATCATTTACTTCATTTTCCTATTTCCATAAGGTATAGCTGGGCAATTTAGACATTTTTTCTCAAATCTAACTGACCATAATATGATTATCAAAGAGCTAAGACTTATTTGCCAATACCAAGGTGAACCTGCTTGTGAAATATGAGATTAACATTGATTTACAATATGCTAATAAATGAAATAACAAACAGGTTCAAAAGCTCCATGCAAAAGCACTTGAACAAAAGCATAGCAAGGCTGAAGCTAAGGAGGAAAGCAAATCCGTGTTCACTGAAGCCGACTTCAAGAAACTCAAGAGCCATCACTTCAAGACTCCTCGGCACCATGCCTTCAATAGGAAAAGATCTAACTTGTGATCTTATTGTATTTATACTTATATTATATGATTACTTATCTTGTACCTTGTACATCACTGACCTTGACATTACATCATTACATTACATCACTAGATGGCACCACGAATGGATTAGCAAGAGATCTTCATTACTGTTAATCCTTATTTACAACTTACTTCCTATGAAATACCTCTACAACACTCTTAGTTGTTGCATGATGTTCATCAAATCAGTTATTTTCTGCTGGCTTTTCTTTGTATATTAAATACTAAGATTCACTGATTACTGTCATGTAAGAACAATTTCCTGTTCACCTGCCCTTTTTTCTTGCTAAAATAGGATTTTGAATAATCAATCTCCATCTTAAGCTATTACCGTCTATAAAGTTTTGAAGTTTTGTATTGTGATAGAAGACAAAGTAGAACTGGAAGATTGTTTAAGGATTTATGTTAAGTTTTTTATAGGAATTGAAGTGAGGCTCAAGTGGTGGTATAGGATATGCCTTCTGACCAAGGAAATTGTTGGGAGAGTTCCTTGACAGATAATTGAAAGATAAGATTGTATTTCCTTTAGCCAATAAAGAATCCAACAATATTAATTTTTTTTACATTTTTCAAGCATTAAAATGACATTTCTGTGATGTTTGAAAAAAGTTTGTGTACTGGTAGGTCCCAATTTGTAAAGAAAAAAGAAAAAATATCTGTTTCCTTTTTTATTCAGTCATTACATCTTCATTTAAACATTTGAGCAATTGTACAGTGGAATTTAATTTTTGCAGTTGATGTGTCCAGAAATATTTGGTATCAAAGAAGTAGCATATTGCAACGAAAATCCTTTTTGCATATCACATATACTTGTATTCAAATTTTTAGCTATGGCTATGGCATCTTTTCTGGTTCTGGATCCTATTCAATGTCTTGCTTTAGCTTTACTGGAACTCCTTGATTCAATATAAACAGTTAATCTCCACTGCTGGATAATATGGAGTGATGAGTCAAATTGAATCTCATTAAAAAATATTTGGAAAACTTGATGACACCTAATTCTTTAAAAATATAATAATTTCTCTTATTTATAATTGAATACAGTCAAACTAGTTGTGTATCATCTCTTTTTCTTAATCGACTTATTAATAAGGAAGTAATCTAAATATACAATATACAGACGTCCAGTAAAGGGAAGAAGTTGTTGACTTGGTGCAGGTCAGATGAGATGAAAGGGCGGCCTCCCTTGCCTCCACAGCACCACAGGATGTCCTTGGTCTAAAAGTGATTTTTGAGGCTGAAAAGCCATGAAAGGTAAATGTTATTGTCATGTAATGCAACAGTCATCTGCGTTGCTGGACTTGTCTTGCACAATGGCGTGCCAATCGATGAGTACATTGATGGTTGCACATCTTTCACAACTGATTATTGATCTAAAAGGCGGTCTTCCTAGCCACAGCACCTCAGGGCTGTCCTTAGTCTAAAGGGCGGTCTTCCTAGCCACAGCACCTCAGGGCTGTCCTTAGTCTAAAGGNACAGCACCACAGGATGTCCTTAGTCTAAAGGGCGGCCTTCCTAGCCACAGCACCACAGCGCTGTCCTCAGTTCATACGGCTAAGCCCCTACAGCCCTATAGCGTGAACGTATTAAAATTACTGAGGAAAGTTTGAATCTAGGAAATTCAATTCATAATTTCAAGAAAGTCCATCAATTATTTGTACTTGGAAGGTGGAATGTTGAGAACAAGAATTCAGCAGCCTAAAAAAGTTGCAATGTAGAGAATTTTTATTTCAGTGATTATTTATTATATTTTCTAATTCTTTCTAAAATAAATTGTTCTAATTCATATAAAAGAAATCCAGTGCTGAAATCATCTTCAGTGCAATTTAAATGAATGATGATCTATTTTAAAACTCAAAACTTTTGATGCCTTTGGATATTAAAAGAAGAATAGTTATCTTATCTTAGATTGTTAATAGGAAGAACAATTACATTAAGTTTTGATTTTGAGGGCAATGTCAGCTGAGCTGTCGTCACCTGCTGACGTCACCTGCTGTCGTCACCTGCTGACGTCACCTGCTGTCGTCACCTGCTGACGTCACCTGCTGACGTCACCTGCTGTCGTCACCTGCTGACGTCACCTGCTGTCGTCACCTGCTGTCGTCACCTGCTGACGTCACCTGCTGAAATAAAATATTTCATCTCATGAAAAAACATTATTCCTAATCATATATAAATAGAACTTATTTTGTAAGACTATGTTTTAAAATTAATATTAATATTGGTGTATTTGTATATGAATGTTTTAGTGGAGGTATTCAATTATTAAATAACATTATTGTTTCCACTGCAGCCAACCTTCAAATGCATATACTATTTGTTGCTCAAAATATCAAAGATTTATTTCAGCGAATGAATATCTAAACATTTTATTTATAAATTCCAGTTTTTTATATCTATTCTTATTCAGATACAATAATTTATTTGTAAATCGAACATGACTTTACCACCCGTGACTCTGAAGCGCGGGGCTCCCGTAGTAGCGGGCAACCCCCTGCCCATCCCCCTACAGGGCTGGGGGAACATCCCTCCCTCCCCCTGGCCTGTGTACTCTGCCAGGATCCTGCTGGGGGAGATCCTCGTGACAGATCCCCAGCATGCCAGGACGCTGTATAATAATGTGGGTCTTGGTCTTATGTAGAAATAATTACCGGTAATGTGTAATTAATTTTTTGTCTTGTCTTGCATATAAATGTGGGTCTTGTCTTGCATATAAATAATTAATGTATAATTAATTTTTCTTCTCATTTTGTTGGTAGTATTGTCTTGCATTTAAATGTGGGTCTTGTCTTATGTAGAAATATTCCTACTCATGTATGATTGATTTTTTTCTTATTATTTTCTGCTAAGAGCACTGCTATAGGTACTTGTAATATATACATAGTGTTTCTTTTAACTTTTCTGAATCTCAATTAACATTAATATTATTTATTGAATCATTTAGAGTATGAACCTTCAATAAATTTTATCTAGAATTGATTATATCTCTTGAATATACACTTCTGAATATAAACCATTGCTGAACCTCAACTAACATCCCCTCAGGTTCAATGTTGATGCATTGCTGATTTTGTATCGTTAAACAACATGATTTCAACGTCGCCTGCATGGCCAGATTAACCTCATGTATTGAATCATTTTGTACATTAAATGTTCTTTATTTATTGTTTCGCCATCAGTTAACAGTTTACTAGTAATAGTTAATAGTTTACTAGTACTCAAGTCAGTTAATAGTTTGGTATCTCGGCAGGGCTTCTTCGGACACGGCGCCCTCTCCGCCAGGGGCTTCGATTACGAGCTCACGAGCAAAAAAATTACGGCAAGTCAGCTCGCTCGTCGGGACCAGTGGCGACACATGGCAACCACGTCCAATTGCCATGACAAACACATGGCAACGACAAGCAATTGCCATGACAGACACATGGCAACCACGTCCAATTGCCATGACAGACACATGGCAACTACGTCCAATTGCCATGACAGACACATGGCAACCACGACCAATTGCCATGACAGACACATGGCAACCACGACCAATTGCCATGACAGACACATGGCAACCACGTCCAATTGCCATGACAGTCACATGGCAACAGCTGAACCCCAACCTGTATACCCAACCTTAAAGACCAATCCAAAGTCTACAATTCAGAGCACGAGTCACAAGTCTGAATCTGCGAGACGAGGTCTGGTGGACGATAATGTACCAAGAAAAGCGGTCTACGTGCTCACAGATGAGTCCTGTGAATGTCGAGATGATGAACCGCCGAGGAAATTGTCTAAAACTGGGCCACGCGAGGGGACTGGGCCACGCGAGGGGACTGGGCCACGCGAGGGGACTGGGCCACGCGAGGGGATTGGGACAAAAAATGTCAGTCATGAGGGAGTGGATGACATGGTGGAGCCCTTTGCATCCACGCCTTCAGGAAGGACGTCTACCGAGCAACCTCTGGAGTCATCGTCCTCTTCTCCAGCAGGAAAATACTCAACATCCACACATGGAGGCTCCTCCAGCACACATGGAGGCTCCTCCAGCACATCACATGGAGGCTCCTCCAGCACATCACATGGAGGCTCCTCCAGCACACCTCCAGCAGGAAGGCTGTGCTGGGACCCCCACCCTCTACAAGAGCCCCTGGTGCTGCTGCCTGAGGAGGCGGTCTTCCTGTGCTTTGCCCTGGGTTGTTTGGTGGTCACTGACCAGCGTGACCAACAGCTTAATGTTGACGTGAGTGACCAGCGTGACCAACAGCTTAATGTTGACGTGAGTGACCAGCGTGACCAGCAGCTTAATGTTGACGTGAGTGACCAGCGTGACCAGCAGCTTAATGTTGACGTGAGTGACCAGCGTGACCAGCAGCTTAATGTTGACGAGAGTGATCAGCGTGACCAACAGCTTAATGTTGACGTGATGACATCGTATACATTGCATCACATCCCTCACCACTCTACCCTGTACAGAAGACATTACTCATATACGGGGTACATATACAAAAAGTTTTGTATTATAATGAGTACTGTATGCGAAACAATATTATATTCAAACGAGTATTGTATTCAAAAGATTATTACATTCAAGATTACTCAACATGTCTCCACCGTGGGCAGGAGCTGTGGTGCGCGCTGCTGCAGATGGACGAAGAACTTGCGTACAAATACGCCGTGTATCACCAGCTGCGTTCTGATGGCTGGGTGGTGCGGTGTGGTGCGCGCTACAGTGCAGACTATGGTGGGTGGTGCGGTGTGGTGCGCGCTACAGTGCAGACTATGGTGGGTGGTGCGGTGTGGTGCACGCTACAGTGCAGACTATGGTGGGTGGTGCGGTGTGGTGCAC